CACCATACTTTTCTTTCTCATTCTTTCTCTTTCTCACTTTTACTGCTCTCTCGCTTACAACCTGGTCACTAACTGTCTCTGAAGAGGGCTCACAGAGAGTCCTATGTGCTATGCTGGTATCTCTCTTGCATGCAGTCTCAGTTGATGCTTTGAACATAACAGATCCTCTTGCCAGAAGCTCAATACAGAAAAGCTACGATCTCACTAAATACCTGGAACACCAACTGCGCTCACTTGCTGGACCATATGTGAGTAGATCTCTTTTTTTTAACTATGTTTAACATAAAGTTACATTTATTGCTTTTATATGTAGGTTTTGTAACAATTGCCCCATATTGGAATAATATTGGAAAATGGTAAAATGGGTTTGGTTATTCAGACACTTTAAATAATGAGGTTTTCTCATAAATAAGAACTGCTTTAAATTGCCAAACAATTTGATACCCTTTGGCTTAAAGTAGAGCTACAAACATTTTTTTCTTTACTTTTAAATACAGGGGGCAGAAGGTTTAGTGCCACTGTTAGCTTTCTATTGCTGTCTGATTCCATGTGTGATATTATTCCTCACTTCCTGCTCCACTGAACTCCTGTCACAGGAAGTGAGGTGAAATCTTACCAATAGGGACACATACCTCAATAAGAATAATATAATCCTTTTGGGAAGAAACATTAAGCTATGGAAAGAAAATGTAACGGAGCAAAAAGTGATTGCTAAAGCTATAAAGCAAAAGCTCTCACCGTAGTAAAGTGAACGGAAGCAAAGTTTGTTTTAAAGTGAACCAGTTCTTTCCCCATGTAGAGCTAAGCAACAGGTTAACCCAACTGCTGTCCTCACCGGTAGAAAATAGCTTCCTGCTGCTTCTTCATCCTTCCGTTCTGCCCCCAGGAGTAAAGAGAAAAGTAATGTGTGTGAACTCCAAATTCTGACTTGGAGCTTACACAGGACTGAGGACTCTCTATCGATTCCCATGTGACAACACTGGGCCAATCGCCAAGCGCCAGTGCTGTCATGTGGGCAGAAAGGAGTGAATCCCCATTCTCCCCATACCCCAAAATACTGGATATTTCTCTCCATTCCCACTAGTTCAACAGAGCAGCAGGGTAGTAAAGGAAATCACAGCATATGTTGCGTTGTGCCCTTATTGACTACACTCAGTGACATCATTTAGGATGACTGCTTACTAATACAGTGCTTTTTCGCTTTCTTGCCTTTGACATTCTGTACATGATAACACAGGCAAAACATTAAATAGAATAGGGGAAAGTCCTTTGGCCCAGCTCCAGACAATTTTTAAAAAAACGTTTGAATAGAGTGGGGAAGGCTTACAACATTGTGCTCAGTTTTTTATTGCTGTCTGAATTCCTGTTGAAGAGATTTTTCCTGCACTTCCTGTGACAGATAGCAAAAAAAAAACACTTTTTTTAGTATGAAGGGATTACAGATAACAATTAAAACCTGACACATGTTCTAACCATTTCCCTCTCTATCCAAAAGTAGACACAAAATATGATTTGTCTAAAGTTTGGCTTTACCTTCATTCCATGTCTACCCCTTCCAAAACACATTGGGGGAATTTATTAAAACTGGAGCAAACATAATCTGGAGCAGTTGCCCATGCCAATCAATAAGCATCTCTCTTCAGTTTGCTCAGGTAAGATTTGAAATTGTGAGAGAGATGCTGATTGGCTACAGTATAAATCTGCCCCAGATTTTGTCTGCTCCAGTTTTGATAAATCCCCCCCCCATTGTGTGCAACCTTAACCTTCTAGTGACTTAATTGCAATGAATTAAATCCAATGGATTGCAGTGTGTTTTGTAATATCAATACTATGATGTAGCCCAGCTCTCTATTGCAAAATAACAGGTTCTCTTTAAGGGTTAGCACAACAATTTCTTAGACAGCAATTAAATGCAAAGTGGTGCTTATTGATTGTAAATGTTCAAGACCAAGCAGAATCAGTGATTTTGTTATAATAGTCACCATTTTTGTTTTGGGCAGTCTACCATGTTTTATTAATATTCCTCTAAAGACCATTCATGTGCTGTAATCCACATTGACTCATAATAATATTTTATGAGATTACAGAACAACCTTTGTGTATAAACTGCCTCTCTGTGCTGCATTGCTTTGCGTGATATAGGATGATTTTGCAGAGGCCACAGGAAAAAATTGTGGTAAACAATCCCCCACCTGCACCAAGTATAACTAAATCTGTGCTTCAGTATGGAAATACTATAAATATGTGTGTGCGTGTGTGTGTGTATGTATATATATATATATATATAAGAGAAAATAGCAATAAATTCAGTCAATGCCTAATTAGCAAAGGAGGTGCATGTAGGAAGGGTAATTCTCAGCGCGCAGGATAAAACTCACCGGTGCTCAGCCATGCTAGCCCCCCTTAATTAAATAAAATGCGCTGTGCATATAACATTATTAGGAATAACATTATAGCTGATAGTAGATGTATATCAAATAATTAAAATCTCATGTAGCGCCCCCCTTATTTGGTCAGCGAGGATATCCCAGTAACATTAACACTAACACTACCGTTGGCTCCTAAGGGGTGATCTACAGTAAAAGAACTAACGGGTCTCCCTGTGTTTCCTCTGTAAGAAACCTCTATAATGGATCCACAGCACACCAGCACACCTTGAGATGGTTTAACATTGTTTACTTTCAATGATAAGATAAGTGGCAGCATATACATACACACAGCATTATACATTATATCATCAAACACTTCAAACTGCATAGTAGATTCAGTTATAAATAGGGATGCACCAATAGCTTTTCTTTGGTATGGAGTACGAGTACCGATATATATATATATATTTTGGCGTACTTGCCGATACCGAATACCAATACCGGAAGTCTCATTAAGGAAGCAAGGCGACGTGTAAAGACTCGCCACTCGGCTTTCCGATTAGTAGGGAAGCCGTCTCCATGCTTCTCGTCACTAGATGAAGAGAAAGCAAGGTGACGAGGGAGCATAAAGCCGGCTTCATTACAGGCGCCCGGCTTCCTGATTGACCAGCTTCCCGACCAATCAGCAAACCTAGCAGCGAGTCATTACACACTGCCCGGCTTCCTGAGTGGCCGGGGAGCCGGCTCCATGCTTCCTCGTCAAGTGACAAGGGAGCATAGAGTTGGCTTCCCGGCCACTCAGGAAGCTGGGCAGCGCCGTGTAATGACTCACTGCCCGGCTTTCTAATACCGGAAGCTTGGGTATCGGGCTAGGCATCGGAGCATTTGGGCGAATACTCGGCATCAGCACCGATACTAGTATAGGTGCATCCCTAGTTATAAAGGTGACTATATATCAGCAATGGGTGTACTGACAACAGTCCCCTTACACAGGATAAAGGTTAGAACAGAACCCTGTCTCAGTCCCAATGTACCCGGGTACCTAACCAACTGGTCAATGGTTTCATCTTCGGCTAGCCAACGGGGGGGTCCAATGTATGTGATAACAAGCTCAGTGTTTGGTGTTCACAGTAAGCATAGGCCAAAGGCCTTTCATCCGTTCTGGAGGGAGATGCACATCAGAGGTGTCCCGTACTGTCAGCAGATATCTTCTAGAAGGGAGATTGTTCACTTGAGAAAGGAAACAGCAGGCCCTGCAGTCAGGAGAGGATCCGATCATCCGCCATGGCATCTGCTCATCACAGCCGAATCACCGTCTACAATCACTGCACAACGGTATGGAGTATCACCTGGTCGGCTCACATGATCACCTGGCTTGCTATCACGATCCGTTGGTCCCTAGGTCTACTAGTAATGTAGACAGGGACACATGATCCACTCTGAACAATCTCTTGCACACAGCAGCTCTAGACGTCCTGCACTCACAATCTCTGCACAGGTAAAAAATCCAGAAAATCCTCCTCCAGCCAGAGTACACTCTCCCTCCTCTCACAGCACTCTGGGACGTGTAGTCCATAACAGCCAGTCCAGCAGGCATCCTCCTAAACAAAGAACTCATGCCACATAAGTCTCTGTTAGAAGAAGCCCCGATCAGTTGCAACATTAGATCAGCCTTAAAGTAGCCTGCTCCACAAAGGTGCTACACTAATATAAGCTTGTTAATGTAATTTCTGAAGTCATTTGCAACCTTTGAAAGTTTGCAGCTTTTATTAAACTACTATCTGGTGAACCTGCCATGAAGGTCCATGTTCAGAAAGTTCCTGTTACAGAGTAGGGTTGCCACCTTTTCTTCAAACGAAACCCGAACACTCTATTGATACGCAAACATTTTTTAGGGAGAATGAGTCGTGGCTTATTCATATGAAAATAGCGCCGCCCATTCCTATGTAAATATCACAGCTGAGACTATTTTCAGTGTGGGGCCAGTAGCCCCTATCTTAATTTTAGTTGCCCCTTTCTACCTGACATCTTGTGTCCGGGTTTCTGCTGGCATGAAACCCGGACACAGCATTCAAAACCCGAACTGTTCGGGTGAATCCTGGACAGGTAGCAACCCTATTACAGAGTGACAACTTTCTCTTCCTGTTTTCCATTTGTACTCTTGTGATGTTACCCTGTCACTTAAGCTTCTGATAGAGACTACAAGTGATTGTTTCAACATGCATTACAGAGGCATGACCCACTGTTATCACCGTCACAAAACCATCCTGAAAAATTCCATGCAGCTATTGCCAGAGCACATGTAGACAAGGAGTGGTTGCAAAAATGCTGCTAGAGATCAGCATGACTGAGATGCCACAAAGGATTAAAAAATGGCAATTGTTTATGATGCACAATGCTTTAGTACATTAATGTAATCATTCAGGGGTTGCTTTAAGCCAACATTTATTTAATGTTGGAGGGAACATGGAAGAGTCAGACACTCTGTCAGGTTTTTAATGCCCTCTTTGTTCTTGTTGGTGAGATTTTCCCTTACAACATCTCAGGATCTTATAAAGGTGGAAAAGAGTTACATCTTTGAACAAGGTATTTTTTGTTACCATTGCTTTCCTGTCCAAGTAACAACTGCACCTCTCATTCCTTCTGCGAATGGGACAGGAATAAAAGGGACAAGGGGCAGAAAGAAATTCTCTTTCCTATCCCATCCCATCCCATCACTAAAAAAAGAACATTTGGCTGGGAGTTGGGATTTAAGAGCAGGCCTCACAAGAATCCTGTAAGTACCATTTCTAAGGAGCATGTTGTAACCTGTGCACATGAGCACACTCTATAAAGAGACCTTGACTTCCACTTTGATTCATAGCTTTGCCATGCCCCAA